ATAAGTAGTGCAAGTTCATAAAAAGAGGCCCAAAAAAGGTCGAAGATATCTTTTTAAAGTTCAAAAGGGGTTCAGTTAGAGGGAGAGAAACTTAAATAGAGGGAGTGCAACAAGAAGTGAGGGTGGGAGTCAACACGAGACGCGTCAAATCACGCGTTTGTAACAATTAGACGCGTCAAATCACGCGTTTGTAACAATTAGACGGGTCAAATCACGCGTTTGTAACAATAAGACGCGTCAAATCACGCGTTTGTAACAATTAGACGCGTCAAATCACGCGTTTGTAACAATAAGACGCGTCAAATCACGCGTTTGAAACAATTAGACGCGTCAAATCACGCGTTTGTAACAATAAGACGCGTCAAATCACGCGTTTGTAACAATAAGACTCGTCAAATCACGCGTTTGTAACAATTAGACGCGTCAAATCACGCGTTTGTAACAATTAGACCCCTTAAATCACGCGTTTTTAATAATGACACGCGTTTATAATGCCATAAATCTTTAAAATTGCATCGTTAAAGTATTTAATAGTTAACATGAAGCCTCTTCTTGCTGTTCGACACTTTAAAATCAAACCTAGAGTAAGAATTTTGAATATCCGATGGAGGTAACTAAGATGATAGTACAGTTCAAAAGTTTCAAAATTTCTCAGAGTGAGAGCCATTATAGTATTAGTTGCGTCATCATAGTTGTTTTATCATAGTTGTTTTATCATAGTTGTTTTATCATAGTTGTTTTATCATAGTTTATGATGTAAATCGAATGCTTAACAATACTGTAATGAACTTAGATCAATGAAGGTTGAACGTATCTTGATTATTTTACCAAAGCTTGATTATTTTACCACATGACTTACAAACAGAAACGTCACCGATCACGAAGCAAAGTTTAGAGAGCACGTTGCACAAGTTAACAAACTGTCCCTCTACGTGATCGAAAATTAAATGTTTTAAAGACCGGTGTAATTAGTTACCACTAGCAGGAACCCGTCTAACCCGTCTAACCCTAACCCGTCTAACCCTAAATGGTGTCAAGACTCACGAGACTAAAATAATTATTACCTATTTAATTTGCATTTTTGACACCACTTGGGGGTCCAAATTTTCGAAATAAAAGACTGAAAAATCGAAACTAATCACCTGGATGGGGATTGGGGATTATCTAAAAGTGGTACGAAATGTTTGTTTAACAGGAGCTTTCAAATTACATGTATAAAATTAAGGGGTAAACTGCAATCTCTCTTAACGCAGGTTAAAGAGCTCGCAGTCACGTGGGCCGGGTCACGTGCAGTTTTCAACCATTAACAATGACGCACATACCTGCTTCACATTCCATGAGCTTAGAGTTTTCGACATTCCATGAGCTTTTGATGTCGACATGGCTGCGGCTGTAAAATGGTTTTGGTGGGGGAGCCCTGTGATTGGCGGAGGAAGATTGGGAATTATGAGGGAGAATCTGATTGGACAGAAACCAGACAAATAATAGAGCATCTATAAATCCGGGCATACTGAAGCAACTGTTTAAAAGTTAAAACACGGATCACCTTCGCTCAAGAGCTCAACTTGTGCTCTTTAAGCCAATTACTCAACTTCGTGGGCCCATACTTGTGTCGTGATCGTGGGCCCATACTTGTGCAGGAGGTGCGTTTTGCTCTCAATATCTGTGTTTTGGTGACCCTCAGGTCCTTTGATTACATACATTTTGTCCTAGAAAATCTGATTTTATCGGAGTCTACTTTTGAGAAGATTTAATGTTGTCCCATGTTGTTCATTCATTGTGTAAATTTGTATGTAATTGATTGATTTGAAAGATTTCAATAAAAAAATCCATAACTATTAACGTGAGTTGCACTTGTGGGGCAAGACTCGTAGCAAGCTATAACAGGTATAAGGGGTATTTCACTTCGTGGGAATGGGAAGTGATCACGCGTCACAAAGTCACGTGATTACGCATCTGGGAGTCAGATTTAACAGCTGGAACTAATATAAAACTGCTACTGTTTGAAATATCACCGTAAACTGACTAGTGAGAGGCTGCCAACTATCTGAATGGATCTTTGGGTCACCTCTACAACTGGACTCACCTCTAAATTCAGTGGAGTATAAAGATGCAAAACTTAAATGTATGACAATGTTTTAGTCGACATATTATTGTTATAATATGTACAAAGATAATTGTAACAGGAGACAATAAAAGAGCAGCTAAATGGTAAAGAGCACATGACGAGGATGATTATTAAGGAACATGTTCCAAACACCCCCCCCCCACACTAACATGTGCAGTTTGTGCACTAACTGCTATTAAAGCAGGTGCACTCAATTAGAATATTACACAAATGCACAAGATTGCACTACTATTGCCAAGATGGAATTAATTTACACTTAGATTACTTGTTCTACTCCTTGTCTCAAGTAGGGTGTACTGTAACAGTAGTTGACTGTGAGGCATAAATCGGTAAATTCAATCGATAACTGATTGCTTATACTTATATAATCAACACAATTTACAAGTGAAGCAAGTGGATTTTATAATAAATTTGAATTTTCACTTTACAAATTATTTATTCACATTTCACAATAAAATTATAAATATATATGATATATAATATTATGATTTATGTATATGTAATTTACTCTTTCTAATTTCTTTAAACGTCCTATAATCCTTCAGAGACTATTTCTAATTATTGCGCAATCTCTTTTCTTTCACACAATTACATGGTAAGCAACTGAGCAACTTGTCTAATAGAGTTAATGAAGAAAGGCCTAACCATTTCACCTTTGATTCTAAGGCCAATAATGCTTCGTCCGAAAAAAACTGTTTCATGAGATCATAGAGAATAAGTAATAGGGTACAATTATATATTGTTGCAGCATTGTTTACGTTGCAACAATATAACACGTATTTTATAACCATAAAGTATGCAGGGCATTTTATAACACTGTAGTTTCAAATAAGTTACATTTTTTCTCGATTGTAGGAATGTGGTAAGAGTCATTTAAAAAATTAAAATTGTGTAAAGAAGAAGCTTGATCCAGTGCACAGTTTTGTACTGCACGTGAGTAAAATAAAATTTGTATGTACTCTCCTACCTAGTTCTTATTAATCTAACTTGAGGCCGAGGGACCTTATGGGTAGAAACTAGAGGGGAGCATTGATCCAACTAAATTGTTTTTGAGTGATGTTCATGGTGATTGCTGGAGCAAGTTACAGAAAAACTCACAGTTTGGGGAAAGGAAAATAGTATGGTAAATCAGGGTTTTAATTTTTGAATAACAGATTTCTCCACAAAATCAGAGCCGTAAATCATCTTCAGCTGAAGCTAATGGCGCTGTCCGAATTTCCGATTTACCGCTAATGGGAACCTTGAACTTCAAGCAAGACAACCATTATTATCAACAACTGATGCGGGATGCCACATTTTATGATGACTTAAGCACTCATTTCTGGAAAAGTGATGTCCAGTCAGTCCACCACATGGCAGTAGGTATACTTGTCCCGCATTTTTGAGATTAACCAATCAATCTGCAGCAGATTCGCCAACTGTCCCAAGAGAGAGTTTTATTGGTAAGCAATATATGAATATATGGCCTAAACTCACCACCAAAAAGCTTTTAGAAAATTCAAAATGTGTATCAAATCTTGCCTTATAACCGTTGGATCCCTGCCAAAAACTGAAAAAGAAGGCGATGCGTGCCATGTATGCCACGAAAAGCACGATTAACAAATCCAAATTAACATTCCGTTCTCTCACGACCCTTTTCGACAGCCTCATTAAACCTTTCGTTCTCTATGGGGCACCTATTTACATACCGACTATGTCCATAATAAAACATGTCGCAAAACGAGCAAACCACAGCGATGAAATTGAAACAACACTGTTAAATTGACTGCGAGCTCTTTGCAATCCACATGGCAAGTATCTGGATCAATGATAACATAGGATTACCAGCTACCATTAACTTTTTCTCAGATTCCCAGGCCTCGCTCAAAGCGCTTAACAGCACTAGCATTAGCTCCAGACTAGTGCTGGACATCGCTGACCAACTTAACACACTAGGTACCTCCCATCGAGTAGAACTTAGGTGGGTCCCAGGACATGAAGGAGTATACGGTAATGAATTGGCTGACGAACTCGTAAGGGAGGGATCCAGCAGTATCCCCATAGGACCGGAACCGTTCCTCCCATTACCAGAAGGCATCATCAACAATACAATCAAGGAGTACCTCTTCAAACTAAACCTCAACAAATACCAACAGGTTACCCTCAGTGATAAAGGAAAAATCCCTCTTGGACTACATTCCTCAACAAATACAAATATAGGAATCTTAATATCTCAGGAACTCACCTCAGATGGCTAACATGGCTACTGTCAGGGCACGGACCACTAGCTTACTTTCAGAACGTGGCAAAAAACGTCAACTTTGAGACGCAAGACTGCGAACACTGCCCAGGGGAAGCAGAATCTTCAGTCAAAAACAGTCAAAAAGATTAGAAAAGGAAGATCTCTTTGGGTAACCTTCTAGGATTTAACATCAGGAAATAACCTAATTCCAGGAAATAACCTAATAGAAGCACCAATTAAAGGAGATGATCTTGTTCGAAAGTCCCTTGTCTGCCCGCTGAAGTACTACAACGGAAGTGGGTTTGCTCTGAGACAGGTAGTGACAGCTTCAAGACTCAAGTAGGAGGCCAGAAACCGTTGACCAGAACAGAGAGAGAGAGAGAAATTGACTACAGATAAACCGAACACTTTGTTGTGAAACAACATTTGTGAAGGATTCGACAAACTCTTATTTCTAGCATTCAAACTTTATGATTATAATAATGTATGGTTGACTCTACCATTAATGCGACTAATTTGACAGTCCGCACAAACTCAAAGGTCCTAATGTCTTCGAGTGTCAACGTTATACGAGAAGCTGTGTCGAGCTTATCACTGACCACCAAATAAAGTAAAAATCTTGTAAAATAAATATCTTGAATCAGTACTAACCTCTCGAGGTTTCATCCACTCTTTCTGAAACAATTGTTCAGCGGTTTGCAACTTTTTCTGATTGTCTCTCTCCTTGGGGAAAAAATCATAAATATGATAAATCAAGATAACGATATTAACCTGGGCCTGTTTTTTAACAATTATTACACTTGGATTCAGAGATTAAATTAAATTACATTCCAGATTCACGGATTATGAACCTACACGACCACGATAATTAAAAGAAAGTGTAAGTTACTTTTTTGTTCGAGCAAATCTTCCACCTAACAAATTAAATTGGACACAATTTCTTTTGCTGCTTTTGTTTTTTAATACTACATTTGCAAGAACATCCGCCAATGTAATCCATTATAGTGATATTACATGTTATTACAATAACTACATTTTCGAAATTAAAAATTAATTATCCTAACATTACCTCTTGTCGCTCTTTTCTCTTCCGCGCTTTCTCCTCTTCAACTTGTCTCCTTCTTTCTTCCGGAGAGATCCAGGTTTTTTCTTTAGTCTCTCCGTCAACCTTGCTCGCATCTACAATAGGAAATGTTGAAAATTTACCATAAAGGAGTGACTGGGACCATAATATACTTTTATTAAAAAGGTGCTGGGACTCATATGTGACTAAGCTAGTCCGTCAGCCAGAGCTAGAGATTATGTAACTGGGTTCGGAGATCAGATATTCTTTAAATGAGGCGAGTTAATAAGTAAGAAGTACACATTGTGCTACAATTCTATTTGAACCCAATTTTAAAGATGGTCGGCATCAAGCACGGTTCATCATTATAAAGTATCAATTAAATGTTAATTTAAGCCTAAACATTACAAAGAAATAACCTCCATTTTCGAGTTTCTTCTTCAATTTTCTACTTTTCTTCCTCTCTTCCTCATCACCATCACGGTTCTCTAAAAGTATAGCGTCTTACAGTAACACATAGAGATTGTTAAAAAATAAATTGATAAATCATCGTTGCTCACTTATGAATAGTGAAGCTCGATAAATTATGAATCATAATTTTTTCAATATGCTATGGAGCACGTTATCATATAATATTGTAAAACATGTAATGATATATAAAATAATATAGATAGTATCTATAAAACTTTACTCACTTCGCTTGTTGTTAACTTTAGGAACTGATTTGCCGTAGTCCGCTAGATAAGGAATGTTGAAATTCTCATCGTCCAAACGAAGCTTTGTCAGGTATTCCGGCTGATAAAAGAAATGTGAGTCTTAGGGATAGGGTCGGTATTTTCAGGAAGACATGATCCCGGAAAATGTTTTTAGCTTCAATCTTGGCTGGCTGGCTGGACTGTTAGAACTCAAGAAGAACTCAAGAAGGATAGACTACCATCTAGGATAGACTATTATCTAAGGAATTCCCAGTCTAACTTTGTCAGCTAGCAACAGCCAGTGTCCGAGGAGATTCTTACAAAATCCTTTGTTATGATATCAGACGTGTTCAGCACAGTATCAAATATCGCTTGATATCATCCACCAGCTGAATGCAATAGAGTAGAGAACTCCCAGTCAATTTGTAGCAACAACAGAGAACCCGGCCCTTCCCCGAACATGAAAAGTTAACCGTCGTAAGTGATATATTGCAGGACATGGACCATCACGCTTTTACCTTGAAACGTTGAACCGTAATTATTTCCAGATGAGCTCAGAGCTGCCGGAATAAGAAGTTGACGTTTACACCCGGAAGTAAGCCTACAGTCAGCAAGGCGTATATTGTTCAGAGAAACAACCCTGACAACTTGTTCTACAATATACAGTCTGCTTTGTTAGCTGCTGGGAGAAAGTCTCGCATACGTTATACGACTACATTTCATTTAGACCAACTTAAAGAGCCATACAGTGTGTACACGCTGCAGGCCGGAGATGATAAAAGCGACGGATGTTGCACACCGCAGCTTAAAGTGATGTACAATTTGTACAACTTGTGTGCAGTAGAGGTGAGGAGGATTTAGAAACAATTTGTACAAAAAGTGTGTATAAAGTGTGGATTTAGAGACCATCGTATCGTTATGCTTAATGTACAGGATGTCTCGAAGGTCAAGGCGACCAAGCGGTTTCTGTCAATAACTCGCATCATCTCTCACTTAACAACATGTGCTATGATCCTCGGTTACTAACAACGTGCTATTGCAGGTCATATGGTACACTAAGTTCTATTGGAGAGCAACTTTGGAAACTTCTACAGAATATACATGTACTGTTAATTTTTTAAGTCGTCTGAGGGCAGCATTTTACAGTTTGGAAATACTCGGCACCCTTAAATTCTATAATTAGGATAATGACCAATTATGGGCCTAATCGTCGATTATGAGAGTGGTGCAGCTCCAAAAAGAAGTACAAGACACAGTTATTATGTCTAAAGGGTGCCAAAGTTCAAACACAAGGATATACTCTCCAGCTTGAAATATAGACCCGAGCAAGACTCTCCCTCCTCATGCCTTAAACTAATGAGTAAGGAAAATAACTACTCTGCGGGAACGTAGAGGTACGGCAACCCTTCGGGGTGTCAATCTATTTTTCTGGGTACAGGTTGTCCTCAGGAGCTCCTACCTACTTTGTAGGAGCACCTGAGTGATAAATCTGCCTGACACCCACCAATCGATCAATACTATAAACAGCCTGACACTCACAATTCCAAGATGACTATTAATCTACCTGACACACACCAATCAAACAAGACTGTTAATTTTCCAGATACCAGAACTCAAACATATCCACAAATCCTTCTTAACTCTCCATTTTTTGATGGATCTCTCCCCAAGCTCCAATTTTGAAAAATGGACACTGTAGCTTAACTGAATTTTCCCAGAATAGAACAAATGGGGGGGACCACAACTCATGTAGCTGAAACACTACACAGCAAGCCGGTAAAATTATAATAATAACAATGAATTATCTAGATATTTAACAAAAACATATGCGTAGTTCAATAGAAATTAAACATTTCCGAGAAACTGTATCCCTGGGATGTAACGAGAGCTGCACTTTTACTAAAGAAGTTACACTGAAACAAATGTAGCAAGTCACAAACTTTGATAGCGTAGAGCGGGGGATCTGTAGAGACTTTCTTAGCAGAGCACTTGGCTAACAACTTTACTCTTTCTCGGGTGAGAAGTGTTTTAGCTCGACTGAAACGGTGAATATGTTAGTTGTAACTAATAATTTAGTCAAATTAGTTGTGCTAAAATCAAAGCAGAGTATTTCAATGACATAATTGTATTCGAAGACAATCAATTTTAAGAGGGTGCAGCTGGGTTAAAACCATTGAAATTACAGTTTAAAAGACGATAATTATAATCAGATAATCCGATGAATAAAGAATTACCAGAGTTTGTTGCCGGTGACAGATACATGATCAGAAGTTCCGACTATACAACACTTGTACACAATCTGGTTGGGATGATGGAACGCTGCATCTGGATTTACCATAATGTCCGTTATTATACCCTCCTTTCTTGATGACCTGTGTTTTTGTGAGCTGGTTTATAATAGCTAGTTGATCAAAGTGTCAGTTAGGATAGTTTAAACTGACCGGGAGTAAACCTTTGAACTCTCATTTGTTCAAGATGAGATATTGAAGTTAGAAGCAAGTTTATTGAAGTTAGAAGCAAGTTTATTTTTTTCAACTAAAATTACAGCTCTAATATAAACAACCTGGCGTTTATTCAGGTGAGGTTACTTCAGATTACAATTTTCAGTCTATTACCTTACCACTAATAAATAATGTCCCGATCCGGATATTACATATTTACAACAACTAATTTCGCTCACCCTTTATCGGTAGATGCTATCTCGACTTTCTCACCAATCAGGAACCTCGTTCTGTAGAAGTTCAGGACTTCGTCCACAAACGATGTCAGACTAGCGATCTGAGGAATTCATCCTTTGTTAAAACTATTTAGAATTTATCTCATGAGATATATAAAATGGGCCCTGACTGAACATTCCGTGCTCATTGCTCAATCAGATACCTTCTACTTTCTAGAGTTTACCGTATACCACGTACAGAACACCACGTATGATGTTACATTTATTATGATCGGCGTGTGTACAGTTTATTATACACAATGTATATTGTATACTGACACAATGAGTCCACAGTCTTCTGGAATAGTACAATCTTACCAAACTCTAGACTGGCTACCTAATGTCACCTCATTTATTCGCTTGAAGTACACAATCAATCGGGCTGTTTAAAATTTTACAAGGTACATTCTGGACACAGAGTTTGTACCTACAATATTCTTTGAAATATCATAAAATCAGTGACGGAATAAAATAGTTATATTATTACAAGATATATAGACTGGGGCGCTGAATTATACTCCTCAGCCGCTGCGAGCCCAAATCAATTACGACATTGTAAAGGAGTCGTGTACAGATATTATGGCTTCTTGCTTAAATCCAATGAAGTTCTTGTTAAGTTCAGACACCCAGCTATATCGACATGTAATCACGAACAGTGAGGTGCACCTTTCAAAACTATCAGACACTGCCACCGTGAGAGAGTCATGACAAATTCGATGAGATATTACTAGCAGAATCGATTATAACAATGCCAGCTTTTTTATGGTCAGCTAGTTCGATTACAAAACCGGTGACTACTGACTACAAAGATCGTGACTCAATATCGTGACTCATGTAATATATAAATCGTGGTACGCACACCAAGAAACACCAGGGAGTGTGCACACTTATTAATAGCTATCAACTGTGCGCGATCTCTCTATAGTACCCTGGTGTACAACTCAATACACGGCAGGATAAACCGCTGGTATTATATACACGAGGTGGTACAAATTGTACCAGTAAGAGGCTGTAATACATTGGGTAACAGCGCTCTTCGTGTACTGTCTTCATTATACGACTACTAGTGTAGCTCGGGTGAAGAGTGTGTGGTCGGTGTACTTACCGGGACAGCACAGAGTGTACTCGATGTAAGGATGATGTTGCACATTGAAACACACTATTACTTAACATCACTTGTACTAAGATTGCATCAGTAAATTGTGGGTGTAAGTTTCTCAGAAAGTGTAGTGTTCAGCTCACAGTCTCTCTCTCTCTATCTCTTGTTATTCACTCTGCCGGACCCGTTTGAAAGTAATATGATATGTAAACGACCCCAGGGAACTTTTTAAACTTGTACATAATAAAAAGACAAAAGCGGACCAGAATCTCCTCATCGACTTTTTATCCTGCATTATTATATGAGATGGTGTAGTCATTAGTATGGGGGCGCTCTTTTAACTGAAAACTCAAAATATCAAATTTTGCCGGACACAGCACACGGCAGTTGATTCTCTTGCCACTTTATTCTTAACGAATTTTAGTTTTTCTATGCTATTCACCATGTCGTATACAACTTAAATTGCCTAATGCCTATGTTAGCTCTTCCTAATGTATTTATCCCAAAAATTGACTGCCAAATTACGAGTAATAACGAGAACAAGACCAGATATAGACTATGTGGCACGTAAAAAATATAGGTGGCAGGTAAGTGATCAGGACACGTACTGCCAATGTTGACCTAGACTAGCACATTCGAGGGAGGTCGAAGAGGAGTTTAATTGCCAACGAAAAATAATGAAATTGCACGCTGGTTTAGTTCGTACGTTTTAGGCTCTGCACAGCTGAACATTGTGAACATTCTGGAGATAAAAAAGCTCTTGAAATCTTAGATGGCTGTAAACCACAACCTAGGGAATGCTCGATATCTCTAAAGATAACTCCGCTGATGTTATGAGGAGATGCAGAATTATATTATAGCAACAATTATTATAGATCACAGATCTGCTATGTATGTGTCCCTAGAATTATCTCGTTATGACAGGATATTCCTTTGTCTCAAGTTGCTTGAAAGTATTCACTGGGAGACTTTGGGTCAGGAAACTGATCCGGCCCCCAAGATCACGTCACCAATTAGTGACGTATAATTAGTGATAATATATAATAAGTATAAATCCATGGATTGAATATGATTGACATAAAAATGAGCTAGATCTGGGGTAGAGTCCAGCAATTGGATTGCTGACGGGACATTTTATGTCGCTCCGAAAATTTGTTGTATAAACTTTTTGTTTTATCAATCCACTTTCGATGATAAATACACCGACATGCAAAAGAAAACAAACCTCGTTCTTGTGGATGATAAAGCAGATAGCTTGCTGGATTACAACAGGCATTTTACGTAAGTGTTCGGCGGCATCTGCTTCGCTCTGCAATGCCTCTGACAAGGTCAAGTTGGATCGACCAGTGTACTCACAGCTCCATACGAGAGAATTACATAGGATCGATCTTCTGAAGTACTCCCTGCAAGTAAATAGCGTAAGAAATTTTCTCTGATGTATCAAGAAAGACCAAGTTGGTATGCACTTTCAATTGCTAGAATTTATTCATCATGAACCAAGTACCTAGACTCATGATTGAACATGTTCGATCAAACAAATTCAGTTAAAAGGTCACAGAACATGTATGAGCATGTCACAAGGCAGCACAAATTGAGGCCACAAAATTTTGACCGCGTTTTGAACATTTAGAAATTGAGGATGAAGAGTCATAAATTTGGAATGTCGCTAGTTGGTTCAAAACAATGATCAATGAAGCGGAGGCTTTAAACGAATTCAACTTCAAATTTGTAACTAGACACAATCTTTAGGCAAACTGACTGATTTTTTGCGGAATAGGAAGACTAGGAACTAAGAAAAAGTGGCAGAAACTTACTCATAATCCCGGAATATCTCTTTCGTGAGTACGTTGAGGAATACTTCTTCATCTGCCTTCAAATCAGGGGGCAAATCGATGGGTACAAAGGGTTTCTTGCGAAGCAGCGGCATGGCACTATCCAAGAGAGAGCACAAACGAATCTGCTAGAACGCAACTCAATATTTAACATGATAGCACACACAAAGAAACTGCCATGCCTTCCTCAAACTCAAAATGAATGCGCGTCGTCTTACGCGCATAGTGAACGCGCGCTCACAAAATGCTAACACTTCTAAAAAGCTGTCTGGCTGATATATATAGGGTGGCTGATATATTAAATTTGAATCCTATACAATTGCTAATGTTCATTATAATTTACAGGTTTTTAAAAGCGTCTTACCCTCCTCAAATTACCCCTTATTCGTTAAATTTGAATCATCATGTCCTGTCAGAACTCGTTCTTCGAAGCAGAACCTGAAAACAGAGAGTTGTTCATGTTGGGGATTCGTCTGATCTTAGAAACTGAATATTCGATATTAAGATTCGTTATTTGCAAGTCTTTGATATATCAACACTTGGTCCCTTGAAGGCCTATCTTAGATTACTTATCTACAAAATTCGTGCTCATGGTAAACTAATTACTCCGCAAACGATTTAAACTTATCCAAAAGTATAATCAACTGTGCGCGGCGCATAGAAGGCAATGTATCATATCCATAATGAATGTTGAATGAGTAAATTTAAAATCACAATGTTTCACTATCGACTATGTTTATGAATTCATTTATCTAATTGAACTCAATCTACATGGTTAAAAAGTTTACACTGTTTTCAGATCAGTGTTATTTGTGTTACTTGTTGATTAAAGTATATCTTTGAAAATATATTACCATTTCCACTTTTGTAATACTATATGTCATATTGGATATACAAATTCAATTATTAACCCCAAACTGAATTAAACCATACACGATTACCTGTCATGTGTTAAATCGAGTAGAAAATATTTGATTCATATTATGTGTTATATATATTAAAACAGTCTGGATTGCAACTGGAAAATTGGAATTACGTATTACCCGAAATGTCTGTAGTAGCGAATAAGTGTGCTCTCTTCAGTGGGACGATTGTCGTCTGCGTCTTTCATGTTTCACTTCATTCAATAATACATCACATCATACATTAATTGTACGAATCGCATATCAAAAACATGATTTTAATTCCATAACCATGCACCACGCGCACGTCGATCAGATCACGTACGTACGTCACACCTTGCGCGCGCGCGGCCGGAGCAAAATTCCCACTGCGCGCAAGTGTGACCATACATTTACCGTTCGTCGATGGCGTCCACCGTAGACGATTGGTTACTACGAACCTTCCAGAGACGTATACAAACACAAAATATATATATATCTCACAAAAGGTTCAGACGTGTCCCTCACGATTACCCAAGAACCATTTAATGTGCCCCACGAAATGTAAGGAAAATTCGTCTCGAACGTTCTATACGTATTGCAGGGAAGCAAAATAGTCTAATTTAACCGTTTTAATACTTTCAACACTACTATATAACAAATAATTTGAGGTATGACACGAGGAGATACGAAACGAACACGAAATGTCAAGAAAAGTCCAGAGAAAACTGGTGCTACAGCAGAAAAGGATGTAACTGAAGATGAAGAAAATCGTAGTTGTGAATGCAGAAGGTATATTGAAGAGGAGTTTTCATTAGCTTGTGCATCCTGTGATATGTACTGGCATTATTGCTGTGTTGGACTGACAGGTCTGACACAAGAAGAAGGCGACCGTCTGTCTAACTGGCGTTGTCAAAATTGTTTCATATCACCTTACATTAAAAGCAACAGGACTCAGACCTCAAACCCTGATAATGAAGAAACAAAAACACTACGGAATGTTATTAGGCAGGAACTTGAGGTCCTTACACCTTGTATCAGAGGGGTGGTTGAAAATGCAGTAAAAGATAACATTCCAACTAACTTCGAGTCTGAAAAACCTAAAGAAATCACAAAAATAGTGAACCAGGCTTTCCAATCCTGGGCAGATGTGACTGCAAATAGTCAGAAGAAAGTTATGGAAGAAATGAGCCAACAGCAAGCTTCACAAAGTGTTATCAGTAAAGTTCAGACAAAGATGCACACTGATGAATATGAGCGAAATTTAAGAAAGCTCAATCTGTGTGTTTTGAATGTTCCAGAGAGCAAGAAAGCTGACACCAAGCTACGCCAGGAAGAGGACTCAAAGTTCTGCAAGGAGACACTAAAGATTGAAAAAAGGGACTTTATCAGTTGCCATCGTGCAGGTAAAGTGGATCCAGATAAGCTACACTCCTGTCGGCCATTGATCATCCAGACAGCTGACATGGAGTCAGTTAATTATTATTCCAACCATGGCAAGGGCTGGAAAGAGTCATCATACTGGATAAATATGGATCTCTGCAGAGCAGACCGAGAGATCCGTTTTTTAGCCAGAGAAGAGAGGAAGAAGAGGCGGGAAGAAGCAGAGAAGAAAAAGACAGAGAAGAAGGTGGAGAAGAAATAAATAGCATTCACAAAGAATGTAGTCAGCCCATGAATATTTTTTATACTAATGCTAATGGACTATTTAATAAAATTGATGAACTAAAATGTATTCTATCAGTTTATAAATCCATTCATGTAATCTGCATTACAGAAACTCATTTTAATAGTGATATTTTAGATGCTGAAATTTTTATTGAAGGTTTTAGTATGTTTAGAAAGGACAGAGATTTTAAAATCGATAACTCCACTAGCAACATAAGTGGAGGTGGTGGTTCTATTATTTATATTAAAAACAGTTGTAATGCTTCATTAGTGAGCTCATTTTTAAAAGCACCAGATTCTTTAGCTATCAATGTCAATACCTCTGGTGGATTGATTAGTATTTGTTGTATTTATAGGTCTACTTCTTTAAATTTAGAACAGAACAATATGTTATTATCTTGCATCAAGAACATATCTAGTGAAAAGAATGTTTTTGAAACTATTATTATAGGAGATTTTAACTTACCTAATGTATCTTGGGAAACTGGTAGTGTAAATAGTGGTATTTCTAGTAAGAATCAGGTTTTAATGATTCAACAAAAGTATATTGATTTATTTAATGACAGTGGTTTGATGTGGTACTTTACTAACGAAACAACCAGAAGACGGCTTGTGAAAGATACTCTCCAGGAGAGTCTTCTTGATCAGGTTTTGTATACAAATGATGCTCTTGTCAACGGTTGTAAGATCGTTTCTCCGCTTGGCAAGAGTGATCATGTTGGGATACTTGTCGAACTGGTCGTTTCGCCCAACACTAACAAAAGTCCCAAACAAAAGATTTTGAAGCCTATTTGGGGTAAGATTTCCTCAGAGGAGTTATTTAACTTTAGTAAGAATAATATTGACTGGGATTATAGTTGTACAAATAATGTCCAAGATATGTGGGTTGAACTACATGGTAAATTGGAGTCTGTTGCTGCAGCTGTCCCAGCTGCTTCGGTTTATCTCGACAACAGACCTGTCAAGTTGCCATGGAGTACAACTTCACTTAAAAGAATGAGGAAGAACAAGGACAGAGCATGGGCTGAATTTGATATTAATCCTTCTTATATTAACTTGAGCTGTGCAAATAGCAAGCAGCATAATTTTGAGGTGGCAGAGATTAAAGCTAAAGTAAATTATGAAAAGAAGATTACATCTAATTTAAAACAGAATTGTAAATCTTTTTACTCGTATTTGCGTAATAAACGTCAAGTGAAATCAAGTGTTGTTTCTTTAGATAGAGGAGATGGTACACGCACAGATAGTTCATCTGAGTCAGCTGAGGTACTTGCTAGTGCCTTTAGTTCTGTGTTTGTGCGTGAACCACCTGGCCCTCTCCCTAAAAATGAGAGTTATAACAAAGAGGTTATTGATGATATGGAAATTAACAGTTCTGATATCAAGAAGCAGCTTTTAAAGCTTAATGTTTTTAAGAGTTCGGGTCCAGATGGCGTTCATCCAAAGTTGTTGAAATCCTTAGCATACGATGAAATGTTTGTTGAAGCTGTTACTAAATTATTTGTTAAATGTTCAGAAACAGGAGTCCTGCCTGACATTTGGAAGACAGCATCTGTTGTAGCATTGTTTAAAAAGGGTGTTAAATCTGATCCCTTAAATTATAGACCTGTCTCATTAACTTGTATTTTGTGCAAAGTGTATGAAAAGTTAGTGAGGGCACATTTATTAACATTTTTAGAAGAACGAATTTCAAAGCATCAGCATGGATTTGTGAAGGGTAAATCTTGTCTATCTAATCTTTTAGAGACATTTGATAATATTCTTGAAATTTTAGACGAAGGTGCTCCTGTCGATCTTTTGTATTTTGATTTTAGTAAGGCCTTTGACACAGTCCCCCACTTTAGACTTCTATCTAAATTGGAGGGGTTTGGGGTCAAGGGAAAAGTTCTAGATGTTATAAAAGACTTTCTGACAGACAGAACCATGAGGGTTTGTGTAGAAGGACAATGGTCTGAGGTGAAACACGTGTTATCTGGTGTTCCCCAGGGGTCAGTATTGGGTCCTTTGTTATTTATTCTTTATATAAACGATTTACCTGACAATGTTAAAAATAAGATTAAATTATTTGCAGATGATCTCAAGTTAGTTTGTAATGCAGCTAACCATAGAAGTGTATCTGATGATATTTTAGAACTCGAAATTTGGGAGAGTTTTTGGCACTTAAACTTCAATCCTGCCAAGTGTAAAGTAGTTCATATTAATCTGAATAATAATCCTAACTCGAATTATATTGTAAATGGAGTGGAACTAGAAGTATCTGCACAGGAAAAAGATTTGGGGGTTATTACCCATAGCTCCTTGCTTTGGAATGAACAGATAAAAGCATGTATTTCTAAAGCAAATCGTATGATCTGCTGGATTGTAAGGAACTTAGTTATTAGAGAAAAGTTTGTAATGATATCTATTTATAAAGCTTTGATAAGACCTCATCTTGAGTATTGTGTCCAATTGTGGAATCCAGTTGCGGCTCATGGAAGTTGGGGGACTGTTTTGGAGCTGGAGAGCGTCCAGAGGCGGTTTACCCGTCTTATTGATGAGGTGGGTACTCTTCCATACAGCCGTAGACTGGATATACTCAATTTGACAACGCTGGCAGAGCGGCGAATACGTGGGGACCTTATTGAAGCTTTTAAAGTAACTAGTGGTTTGACTGAATATGGATCGGGTTTGTTCAGAATGAGCAGATCTGGTCTTAATTTAGTTTCAACCAATAGATGTAGTAAGAGTGTAACTAAAGTCAGGAATATTCAGTCTTCTTTTCTTCCGGAGCGAGTCATTCCTTATTGGAACAAACTCCCTTCAGATGTCAAGAACTGCTCGACAGTTTTAAGCTTTAAAGTTAGATTGGAAGGATTTAAGAAAGAAATGATTTCTAAAAACAGTGTAAATGATTCTTATTTTTGGACTGTTTCGAATGAAGTTTTAGGGAAAATTGAAGGTCCAAGTTATTTAAGCAATAAGGAGAGACATAATGAATATCTTTGGTTTCATCCTTTTGTGGCAAAGAAGCGTTTTATAAATCTTTATTCCACTGGGAAGTATTAATGAATTGTTTATAGATAATGTATTAGATTTTATTAGTTAAAATTGAATTTATTAAATTATTAATGTTGATGGAAAAGTATATTTATTTAAAGTATTTTTCTATTTAGTGCAATGATATTTTGTAGACACTTGTGATGATGTTATGTCATAATCTTTACTTACTTACTTACTTACTTACCGTGGTGTTTACAGCTGCAGCAATCCCTTCTTATTTCTTAGATAAAACCATTTGGATTCCAACAAATAAAAGACTTATATCATTGAACGAACCAGAACTGAAGATTTCATGAAATTGTCAAAGAATTATTAGTTATTCAACTTCGTATTCTACAAATTCTCTTAAATGAGTAGATAAATTATTTACAAACTTTCAAAGATTTCTCTGAAATATACAATGTCCATTATTGATTATAACCACAATAACTTAATGATGAATCAACAACACAAAAGCTGAATGCACTCAAATGATCATCATTTCACATCTAGCAGTGTCAATATCTCACGAAGTTCATCCTTTATCATTTAATTTCTTTCTATTCCCTCTGGCCCACTCCATATATTTCTTGTCTTCAGTTATCTCCATGTACACATCATCTCTGCCGTAGAATTTAAACCGGTGTGGTAGCCACAGTTTCTCGAAGATATAATTTAGAGGTCGGTAGAAGGGATATGCCAGGCAGTAAACTTTCCTGTCTGAAAAGTTGAAGGATAAATTAATTGATTAAAGTAAAGTTCGATGGTTTGAGGCCAAAAGCTAACTTTAATACGCTTTGTGTCCCGTTTCTGCAAGTGGAATGTGTGTGCACCAGTCACTAGAAATGAAGTATAACCTAATCAACACGAACGTGAAGTTCCTCCACAATAGAACCTTAACTTCCATCTTGCCACTTACAGGCGTGCCAATGATAAAAACAAAATTCCTACAACAGAACTCCAACATTCATGATCTGGGAACTTACCGGCGTGCCAATACAGAAACAGCATAGCATCCAAGTTTTTATGTCTGTTTCCCTTCTGGTCGATTACATAGAAATTCAACATCGCCTCTTTTCTGGATATGTTAAATTGGGTCGGGTCGTAATTACGGTCGTAAACATTTATTATCTTCACAGGATCAATATCTGAATATGATGAGATTATCAAATTATTATATTTCCACGCCTCTGCTCAGTATGGAATGGAGCGGTGAAATATTAAAAATTTAACATTGCCAAACTAGAAAAATGCCACACCAACAAATTCCACTGTAAACTTATTGTTATATATATATTATATAACCATTATATTCTTTAACAGTTCATTTCCATAAAATCTACCCATCCAAAAAAGAAAGAATAAACTCACCCAATTCTTTAGACCGCTCAGAAATAGTCATGAGCTCACCACGTGACCACCTACACCCACAATCTACCAGGGCAGTGATAACACCACTTCTCTCCTGGGTACAGAACGGGTAATTAAGGTGGCTCACTGCACGTTTAGCTGCCCGAACAGCTGTTCTGAGGTGACCAGTCATCCTGAGATGGTGTGGGGATGAGGAAATGTCGGACACTGTAACCGTCAAGAGCACACAATAGGTTTTACAAGCTTATTTTATTTGGAGTTTTTTAACCGTTAATTCGATTTTCAAGTTCACCTTAACTTAGCACAGTATTATTATTTTCTCATCGTCCCAACTGATTCACAATTCTGATCTACATCAACAAAATGAAATCACTTTATTGTGAGAAGTTCAATTAGGAATGAATGAAGAGTCTGATACATTATTCTGAAATGAAGCAATAATTGGGATGTTGCAAACATCAAGATAAAAGATTAAAAGTTAAAACAGCTAATTTTTGGTCGATGGTAAAAAATGAAAGAATAAAAAAGGTTCCAACCTTCAAAAATTTGTAAAAGAGCATTTAAATGAACGTTTAAAACATTTTTGTCAGATCGTCATGAACCGGAGGCCAGTCCAAACTCCTCCAGCAAATCCAACTGTTCGAAATAGTGGCACACTAGAATGAAAAGGACGAGATATTGAAAATTAGGTTCGTTCGAGGAAAGATCGAGTTTTTCTGGATCAAGTGTGGTTAGTAATTCGGAGCTGAGGACTGCACAACGTCGCCCAACCGCCCTGAAGAAATAGGTTCATTGTAATTATCAATTATTATCAATGTAGAAACTAAGTGATTAATTACACAGCCTTTTACAACATGAGGTCAAAACAATAATCAGTTAAAATTGAGAGGGATTTGTAAACATTTGAGACATTAAAACATTTTAGGAATGTATAATGATTCTCAGACTAACCTTATGATGGACATGTAATCCATGGGAACAGGTTTATCAATAACACACAACAGAGAAAAAACCCACGAACCAACAGCCCTTGGATTTCTAGACTTTTCTTCAGAAGACAAACAAACATCCTGAACGTAATCCAGCAGTTCAAACACAGAAACTTGGGACAAGCTCAGTACCAGAGATAAACTGGCCTGCTCGTCGAAGGTTTTCTTGGAAATGCTCAGTTCCAGTTCGTCTCCCTGGAGCTTGTTTGGGTGGATCTTCTGCATCCTGCTGCAATATTGTCTTAATTTGGAGAACTTGTGAACTTGCTTGTTGATAAGTGCGGGAGGGAAACTAAGTGAAGTTTTCTCATCACGTGGTTCGGTTTCATCTGACATTAGGTTGAACATGCTTCTGTCAACTGACATGACATCCGGAATGTATGATGCTTCAGAGTGTACGATTGAGAGGTATTGGAGGCCATCTTGGGGTTTCTCGCCGGGAGTGTGTGTGCCTCTTGGTAGTGCTTGAGGAGGGTAGCAGTCTTCTTCAATATCGGACATGATTCAGGGATATGTTTTACATTCCTGTCATAACTCTAGATACACTCCGTACACTGTAAGATAGAGGATTTATTGGTGGTCAGAACTGTATGTTAAACTGAGTGTTTAATAGTAAAAATAATGATTTTCTGTATAACATGGTGAATTTCACTTGAAGTTTTCGAATGAATAGAAGTAAAACTAAAATATATATCATAAATAAATTAGTCGAAAATAAGAACTCTAGAATAGAAAACCTTCTAAAACGTTTGGGAACGCATCGATCACATTAAAAATGGAACAATAATCACTCGATCAAGCTCAACAGCACTTGAAACCTAGGGCTAATGAGGGTCAATATAAGGTGAAACCAATAATGTCCAGTTTATACCCCAATCAATCCAGTAGCAGTATCAGTAAACTAAGTGATCGCTGCATACACTTTGTCAGGTGGCGTGATAATATATCTGTAGAAAGACACGGTCGTGTCTGAACATCATGTCAAGGTTTCCCAAACTCTCAGCAGGAATTGAGCAGAATTTGAGCAGGACTCTAGAATATGATACTAAGAATAGAAGGAGGAGGGAGACCTGATGCCGGGTCAACGTCAGTGCCAAGTCCCTTGAAAATGATGTAAGGGATTATAGCATAGTAGAAGACTTTCTGTCCGAGCCTCGTCACTTTAGTCAGGCGTTCTTTTACTGGCTCTGATAGCTCCAAATTCATTGCTAGCTTTGAAGGGTAGGGGTTAAGATATTGTATAATGTATAGTACTTTATAGTAATATTGTATACTAGTTTTAGTATTGTATCTCAATCTCAACACTTATTTTACTTCGGACATTCCAACAGCCACATTGTTACACAAGTGTGTAACCAGCCAATTACAGGAAGCCGAAGGATTCAATTATACATTAGGCCAGTGACGGTTAAGGTAGTGTGTACCATACTTTCTTCGCCCGAGACTTTGCTGCAATGGGCAGCTCCTCATTTAACCCTCACACCCGATTTCTCGGGTATTTGGCTGACTGGACCGGGGGGCTGCATAGACCACTCAGGATCCTTAGCTGAGCGTCGACGACGCTCACCCCACGGCTAGTGACAGAGTCGGGAATCGAACCTGGTACCTCAAGCAATACCAGGCGGATTAATGGTTATTGGTAGTGTTTAGAGTGTGTTCCATCCATTAATTTTAGTTGCAGGGAAGATGCATTATTGCTGTCTTAATAAATCATCATTTCAAAATTTTGAATAGTCTAGTTTTTTAGATTTAAGTTACATTTTCAGATCTCAGTTATTTTTTTCTATTCAGAAAAACATACCTATATATTCTAAACAATGTAATGTGAGAATGAGAACATTAGAACACACAGTTGCAATAAATTAATCTTCGTAAAAATCTGACTGTTTACTCTTTAAATGAGCTCAAATTCAAACCTTTCGTGAATTCTTTAATAATCAAATGAGAAGGTGAGTAGTACACAAACTAATTATAAATATGGTCTTCTAAAATCTACATGAAAATGTGCAATATTTAATGCCTACAAAAACCATAAAATATCAATATTGAAGGCTAAATTTACAAACGCTAATTTAGTTGGCGGCTTCAGCGGCGAGCTTGGCGGCTTCGGTGGCCTCTTCTTGTAGCTCGTTGTAAGTAGCCACCATTTTCTCAGTAGCGAAGTCGTCCTGTTTCAGACCCTGGACAATGTTCCATTTTCCACCAGCCTGTATTGTGACCTGGGAAAGATTTAGATTATTCCAGAAAGTTCCGAGTGTAAGATGATCTGGCTGGTCTGGATTTAACCAGACGGTTTTAAAATTCTCAACGGAATATCTTGCCCTTTCTAGAATGACTATATTTGCTTAACTTAAATGTAAGTGTTACAATACTTAAAATAAATTGCTCATTTGCAGGCTCGACAAGCCTAAGTGTTTTGGTAAACTATCACTACGAGCTAAACGCCAAATCTTGTAAAAGCTTCCCGACTCCAATTACACAATACATAATAAAACCAATTAACATAATATAACAATCTATTTACCGGGAAGGAGTAGATAATTCCAGCAGGAATGTTGTAACTTCCATCAGAAATCACACCCATACTGGTGAACTCTCCTTCTTTTGTTCCAAACCACCAGTCCCGTGTGTGATCGCCTGGAATTAGAATAGAATTTAATAGAATAAAATAGAATAGAATAGAATAGAATAGAATAGAATAGAATAGAATAGAATAGAATAGAATAGAATAAATAGAATAAAATAGAATATAATAGAATGGAATATAATAAAATAGAATAGAATAGAATAGAATAGAATAGAATAGAATAGAATAAATAGAATAAAATAGAATATAATAGAATGGAGTATAATAAAATAGAATAGAATAGAATAGAATAGAATAGAATAGAATAGAATTGAATAGAATAGGGTAGAATAGAATAGAATAAAATAGAATAAAATAGAATAAAATAGAATAAAATAGAATAGAATAAAATAGAATAAAATATAATAAAATAGAATAGGGTAGAATAAAATAAAATAGAATAAAATAGAATAAAATAGAATAAAATAGAATAAAATAGAATAAAATAGAATAAAATAGAATAAAATAGAATAAAATAGAATAGAATAGGGTAGAATAGAATATGATAGAATAGGGTAGAATAGAATAAAATAGAATAAAATATAATAGGGTAGAATAGAATAGAATAGGGTAGAATAAAATAGAATAAAATAGAATAAAATAGAATATAATAGAATAAAATAGAATAGAATAGAATAGAATAGGGTAGAATAGAATAGAATTGAATAGAATAGGCAGAATAGAATAGAATATAATAGAATAGAATAGAATAAAATATAATAGAATATAATAGAATTATTAAATAGTCGTTTATGGACACGTTCATTTGAGTTTGAGGATATTGGTAAATATAAGTGACCCTATTAGAAGGCAAAGTGTAGTTGACTTTGTCACACTATGAAATTACTTAAACCCTTGATGGTTAGGATAATCGTCTCATCCTCTATGCTAACTTTGTCACATAACGATATCTTAATCAGGTGATAAGATATCGCTTAAATACGGCCGGCACGGAAATGGTTACATTGTCACACTAAAAACATGTGACGGAGTAAATATGGACCCCTTGCTGCCGTTTTTGACCAAATTTTTTAGTGTCTAGTTGATTGGATGGGTACATATGACCATTACCTACATATTTGACGACTTTTTTCGTTAGATGGTGCATTCAGGTTTACTCTGTCACACATTAAAGAAAATATGTGATGAATGTTTAGGGCACCCTGATAAGCAATGCTGAGTAGTGTAAGTTTATTTGATAGCCTGGAAGTGTTGGGAATTGTTATTATATCATATAGTCGTAAGGAATTAAAACACAGAAGGCACAACCAAGTTTACTTTGTCACATAATCTTGATGATATCTGAACATTTGTGAAATTGAACAAATAATGATATACCAGCTTAAACCCCTTATAATATTACGTACTATGGATCAAACAACACTGATAGTACCATGCACCAGTCACATAAATCATTATCAGGTGGTAATATGTTAACAGTGTCACAATTAAACTACCGCTACATGGTCAAAAATAGGGTAATTTCGTCACAAAAAATTATTATAACTCTGTTAGCTCCTTGCTGGCAAAATAACTAGTTTATCGAAATTTTGTTGATGATAAAGTTACATAGTATTCTAATAGAGGTATAGTTCTTCAAAATAGGGGCAAGACATGTTTACTTTGTCACATCAGTTATTATAAGAGTTAGGTAATCGTCATCAGATTAAAAGATATTTTTCGTAGTTTGGATCGATTAATACTTTAATATACCTGTAATAAAGCATCCTATGCCAATTTTAACACACTATCTTGATACTGTTGGGGCAGGGAAAGTTAATTTTGTCACATTTTTAATGTCTTTGACAAATTAATCTAAATTTTTTAAATTGAGCTCTTATGTTCTGGACAATATTCTTCCTATCGTTTCTGAAAGAATGTTGAATTCTAATAGAGTTATAGATCTTTAAAATAGGGGCAAGACATGTTTACTTTGTCACATCAGTTACTATAAGAGTTAGGTAATCATCATCACATTAACATATATTTTTTTGTAGTCTGGATTGATTTATATAGGTAATAAAGCAGCCTATGCTAAATTTTACACACTATCTTGAAATTGTTGGGGCATGAAAAGTTAATTTTGTCACATTTTTAGTGACTTTGACAAATTTAACCTAAAATTGTTAAACTTAAGCTCTGATATTCTGGACAATATTCTAATAAAGGTATAGAATATAGATCTTCCAAATAGGGGCAAGACATGTTTACTTTGTCACATCAGTTATTATAAGAGTTATTATAAGAGACTATTTCATTCTATAATCATTGTTTTTAATCTATTAACGATTTCGTATAATTTTTTGTGACAATGTAAACATCAACTGATCTTAACTTGCATCAACTACATTGTCATCATATAAAATTTTCCCACCTTTCAAACCAAAATCAGATATAAATAATTCGCCCAAAATTTAAAATTTCATATATCGTGACAGAATTAACCTCATTTCCCAATAACCAAGTGCCTGTATTAGCTAACTAGTCAAAAGAACATATTTTAGGGCTATGATTGGTAGAGCAACCATCAAATAATGAGTTGAAAGGGTTTTTAGGACACCTCACAGTAGAATAGAGGTATGGCATCATGAGTGTGACAAAGTTACCCAAATATTGCCTTGTAACCGTTCGATCCGTGCCCATTAACCAATGTTGTATCATAATTGTTAGATTGACCTAATTTACTATATTTCAGACCAAGGAATGATAATTAGACAACTGCAGTTAACTAAGTCACACAAAATGTGACATTTGAAACATTATAGTGCCTAATAACAATAGATTTTCTTTCTGAGCGGTGCATATGGGAGTATGAGTTCTGAACGTGCTAAGTTAATAAATGTCAAAATTAAGCCACTATCGTCAAAAACCGCTATTATTTTTGTTTACCAATATCCTAAAACTCAAATGAACGTGTCCTTATACGATTAAATAGTCGTTTATACGATTAATATAATAGAAGGATTTGCACGAGAAAAAAACTTTCACAAGATCCCCTCATCCTTTAAGAGCTAGCTTGTAGTGTGGTGTGGGGTATCACTACAACAAACATACACCCGACAACTATATTAGATTATAAAATGAACGTTAAAAGTATAACAAACCGATAGCTTTAGCTGCAGACATAGCCGAGCTGAGGCCCCTAGCCTTGATAACAGCGGCACCACGCGACTGGACCGTCTACAAAACAGTTATAAATGTTAACAAATATAAAATATGTTTACAATTATTAGTATGTTTATAATTAATAAATGTTAATAATTATTTATGTGACCGTCTCTGAAACAGTGAAATAAGCTAAAGTGGGAGACGATCCATTGTTGGGTTGGAAAAAGCCATGAGTCGTGACAATTCTTCATGAAATTAAATAAACTAGTTTAGTAAAATTCGCTTACCGTGATGAAATCAGATTTGATCCAAGCATCGTCACTGAGCGCGCCAGTTAGAGGTTGGATCACGCCGTTCAAGACAACGGAAGCATGGCGGGCATCAGGGAACTGAGTTCCAGAGTGGTTACCCCAGATGATAACATTCATGATTTGAGAAACGGAAACACCAAGTTTGTGTGCCAACTGAAATAATAGATATTAAAACTAATATCATAACTTGTTTATAGTATACTGAGCAACATGTCTTATATTTATATGAAGTTTTATGATAAGAACGATTGGAATTTGTATCAAGCGGCAGATGATATTATGGGGTAAAGAGAGTACCTGAGATTTGGCTCTATTCTGATCAAGTCTAGTCAGACAGGTGAAGTTCTCTTTAGGAATAGAAGGTGCGTTCTTCATACAAGTCAGCGCATTGGTGTTACAAGGGTTACCTACAAGTTTGGGATTGTTTTGATTATTTACAGTCACATTTCAACGTCACCAAAAACAATCAGAACTGATGGTTTGTAATATTATAACCGTACTGTAAACTAGCTACCGTGACTACAATATCAAATAAAAGCTACGCTTCTAAATAAGTAAATGGCAAATAATAATATACTGTTTCAGCCCTATAATGTATCTACTGACCTACAACGACCACTTTTATAGATTTCTTTCCAACACTATCAATAGCTTTGCCGGTGACACGGAAGATGTCATTATTCTTGGCAAGGAGGTCTTTGCGCTCCATCCCCTTCAGTCGAGGGAAAGCACCCAGGAGGAGAGCAACATCCACATCGGCAAACGCTACCATCGGGTCGTCAGTAGCCACAACACCTGTTCAGATAATAGTGATCATTGCATATTATACAATACACTTGTATATCAAATAGTTAAAAATTAAGCACTGCAAAGCCATGTGCAATTCTTAACTTTTGCATTCGACCAGTGTTTCACGAGAGCAATGTTAATAGAACGGGAAAGTATAGTAATGTGCTCTGACGAACCTCTGACAAGAGAAAGAGCCAGATCCTCCAACTCCATCACTACTCCGTTAAGTTTCTCCATGCAATGTGGGATGTCCAGCAGATGTAGAATAACAGGCTGAAAGAGGTAAATAATGAACAATTTGCTTAAACGATATGTCAACAATTGTTTAAATGCAAAATTAGGTTAAAAGTAAACTTTAAAGTAAAATCTGAATAAATTTGAGATGTAATTTATAAGCACCTGGTCTGCACCGAACACTTTGCCGGAAGCAACTTCAAGAAGAAGGGAGTAGGCTATTTGACCAGCTCCACCGGTGATGCATATCTTGATAGGACTCTTGTTCTGGTGATAAATCATTATAATGATACCTACTCAGATCCGGTTACAAAGTATTTCATATTCTTAGACTTCAAAGCAACTTTAGATAAATAAAGTACACTGAGCTCGCCTCTCGATTTATTTAGCAGTAAATCGTGAATTACCAAGAAATTAAAAAGTAAAGGGAACACTCACCGCAGCCATAATTTGTTGTTTTAGGAAACCTTGGGTCCTATTTTATAAGAATGGTGAGTACTTTATAGTTTGTATAAGATTATAGGAGACTTATTAGTGAACTATATATCGGGACTGTAACAATAATTGACAAATTTACTGATTGTTGGTCACAAATAAAAAGTAACATAGTTCAAAGTCGTATTAAAATGATACTTCATACTGGTCAGTGGTCATGAATCTAATTTCAGCAGGAATTAAATTCGGCGGGATTATAAGGCACTTATCAATATCTATTACATCAGTAACTACTCAAGTTTTAGTTCATATAAGGTTAAAATATTGTGGAATAAGTTAGAGAATTATAATTTAAAAGAAATCTAAAAATAAAAACAAATCTCCCTCCTTTAAAAAGTTTAATCGTCAGTTTTTTCTAATGAAAATGGATCAAGAAAACTAGCCATGATTGATGATTTAAAAGAATTAACTTGGGTCTGATTAGGAGTATTTCTGTTTTGATTAGTTTTAACTGTATTGTATAAAGAGTCATAGCTCATTGCATCAGAACCGTTCTTTTTGTCTGCTGTAAATGACTGGCTAGAATTTGGCGCACTTTGCCTTGGGTTTATGAAAGTTCTTTCAGCAGCTTGCGGTGGAGTAGGATTAGGTTTATTGTAAACATGGTGTGGAGTGGTTGACGGTTTCCACTGGTCAGTGAAACTGTTGTAGTGATGCTTTGGTTGCTTGTTAACAGATTGGTAATTAACACTGTAATTGGGTGTTGTGCGATTCTGCAACTGTTTCTTTGGCTTTCTTTTTGTTCCCACTTTTGGTCTTGATGGGTTCTCAGGAGTTTCTTCACTTTCAGACTCAGAGCTTGAACAATCACTGTTCTTGCTATCACCGTCAGAATTTCTTTTGTATCTGCTACTATGCTCAAGTTCCCTCAGCAACTCAACCATCACATAACGACTATAACGCTCATTTGGAGAGTAGAAAAGTTCTTGATCATTGTGAAGGCCAAGGTTTGCAATGTCCGAATTTGTGTTAAACCTAATAGAGTAATATGGCTCCTTCACTGGTCCTAAAACCTCGAAAACATAGCCGACACACTTTCTGCCCTCATCAAAAATCATGCTGTCGAGATCTAATATTTTATCACAATTACAACTGTTTACTACAACAAAATCCTCAACTATCTTGTGCACTTTACCGAGAGGATTAATTTGCTCAGACTCTGTTAATGTAAGATCAATGATCTCAACCTCAGGATAAGTTTCCATAAAATAACGGTCTTTGATGTTCATGCCTTCCATTTTTCTCACTTCACTTGTAACTGACATGGGAATATTGTAGTCTGAATCAGCCCCACTGTCAGAATCTGATATTACAAAATTGTCATCATCGGAGCTGTCATCAATAACTGGCTTAACTTGTCTATGGTCTGATAAGAGTTTGCTGGCACCATCATATGTTTTATGATCAATTGGCTCAGTCTTCATAAGACTTATTATGCCCTTTAAATCTTCTTCAGCTCTAACTACGATTTCTGCAGGTCTCTGGAAAGCAAAGTTTGAGTGTTTCTGTGAGCTAGCTGAGCTAAATCGATTTTCTTCAATACATGGGTAACCTTCATCCATAACTTCTGCTTTTACTACTACACTTTTCTTTACTTCGTTGTCATCACAAGGATTACCCTCATTTACGATATTCTTAATTTTGTTGGATTTCTCGTTTTCCTTGTTCTCTGTTATACCAACAATACAAACATCAACAACATCAACATCAACAATATCTACATCTACATCAGAATCAGTCAATTCTCCACTCTCTGCTCCAGAACTTGGTTGAAGGTTATAATCTAGATATCTTTTGCCACGAATACCATCAGTTCGAGCAGAAACTAAGCTATCAGAAATTTGTTCAGAATTTTCTTTCGTCAAATCTAGACCATTTGGAGGACTTGCATTTTGTCTAACATCTTTGTCATCAAGATCGCTACAACTGTCCACATCAATGATATCTATTTCCGTATCATCGCCTGCCATATCTGAAAGAAATTGATTATCATTGATAAATATCTTTTAAAATCATGCCATTAGTAAATAATCAAAGCAAAATTCTGAAGGAGTAATCATGATGTGACAGAATTTTCTCCCGCATACAAGCTGTGGTCTACGGCATTCATACTATTGATCTACAGGATACTTTAAGGGTTATAGTTCCATTTAATTTGAGGTATGTTCAGGGGGGGGGGGGGGCCAAAAGTCAGTACCCATACGTTGGATCTTATATACCCATTACCCCGCCGTGTTTTATATTTGAGAGTTGTTGGTCATTTCATCTGGAATATAATCTGAAAAGATGGTGCGAAACGGATTTAAAATGACGAAGTTATCAAGCAATTTGTTTATCTCGTTAGCAAAATTGATTTGGTACTCAATGATTACCCAATTACGACACCATAATTGGGCTCTCTGCACGATTCCCATAATGCGGATCTAGCCTCAACCTAATCACCTGATCACACGTAATGAGCAAACTCGTTATGCTTCACATCTCGGTCATCTGAGAAGCTAGAACTCTCATTTTTTCAGGACAAACGTAATTTAAATGGCCAAACACCATTCAATAAAATTTTGCTCGGACCGACTATCCAAACTATCAAATAAATGCGAAAATGAACCTTCATTTGAAAAAAATGAACACAAATATTTTTCGATTTGACAAATTCCTCGAACCAGTGGTGGTAGTAAGTCATACCAGAAAGAATTATCTCAATTGGGCACTCAGTGACTGAGCTATTAAGGCCAACGTATGGGTACTGAGTTGTGCCCCCCCTGCAGTACATGTGTACAAGATAAATTGAGGGTTGTCGATACGTGCGTGCGCGGCTTGAGCCGCGCCGCATAACAATTTATGCGTTTAGGGGCTGGAGTACGCGTGTTTACAGATTAATGAATTGTTGCATTGTAAATATTTAAAGTTGACGATATATTATGATTAGATTTAATAGTAAATTTTTCAAAGCTGGCTTTGGACTTAGGTAAAATTATAACTTATTTATTTTAAAGAAAAAACCACGGATAGTTTTAAATTTACATAGTCGTATAACTATAATCAAGTTAATCCTGTTTTCAAGAATGCGCGGCTTTGGCGGCCAGTTATTGACTTGTACATAAAATTGAATTTTAAATAGAAATGTGAATGTATTAAAATTTAAAACTTTCAAAACGGGGGCTTATAAATATTATTATATTATGATTGTAAAATAAAGGATAAAATTTTAAATTTGTTTCAAAAAAAATTTGTTTCACTCGATGTAACTAATATTCATGAGTAATAAAGTGATAGCTTCGTCTATCTGGTCAGTGGTCATACATATTCTTTTGTCTTAGAATGTACTTTAACGTACTGCTATTTCCGTACAATGATCATGTCACCATAGCCCCTAGTTCTCCTTTCTGCTACTGACTCCATCAAAACGAATCGAATCAAATCAAGAATAATGATATAAATCATTAATACTACCGAGGACCACTACCAACTAAAGTCTGAGGAAGGTTCAACTCAGGGAGATGTAGCAGCAATGGCATTCTATGCGTTAGGGATCAAGCCTCTAGTAGATGACCTAGCCACAGCCTCCAAGCCCAGTGTTTGCAAACAGTCTTGGTATGCAGACGACAGTAGTGCTGGTGGAAAGATTGAAGGTATTAAGATATGGTGGGATACGCTGTTGGAGCAAGGACCAAAGTATGGATATTACCCAAAAGCCAGTAAGACCGTCCTGATTGTGAAGAATAGCGAGGACCTAGATCTTGCGCAGAAAGTATTCTCAGGCACTGGTATTAAAATTGAGTCTGAAGGAGAACGCCATTTGGGTGCAGCAATTGGCAGCGAAGCTTTTAAGAACAAATATGTCTCAGATAAAGTCCATAAATGGTGTCAGGACATCAAGCTGTTGTCATCAATTGCTGTTGAGGAGCCCCAAGCTGCATTGACTGCATATACTAAGGGAATTTGTCACCGGTGGACGTTCATTCAGAGGACCATCCCGGGTATAAGTCACTTGTTTCAACCATTGGAGGATTGCATCAGAACAGATTTTATTCCAGCAATCTTGGGTAAGAACGTATCAGACTTGGACCGCTCCATATTTGCATTGCCAGTCAGACATGGTGGCCTAGGTATCTCCAACCCAGTTGAAAACTGCAATAGAGAATTCACAGCCTCAGTCACCATCACAAAAGACCTCACAGACCTGATTATCAACCAGCAAAACACCCTTGAACATTACAACATGTCAATTCAAAATGACACTATAAAAAGTCTCAAGGCAATCAAGGAGAAACACTTATTTACGGTTAGCAAATCAATAGAGGAAAGTGTAAGAGATCCCAACCTAAAGAGATCTCTCCAGTTCATCAAAGAGAAAGGTTCAGGATGTTGGCTTACTGCACTTCCATTGAAGAGATTTGGCTACTCCCTGAACAAGATTGAGTTCCGTGATGCTCTGTACTTGCGTTATGGTTAAGAGATCCCTAACACCCCATTTCACTGTGCTTGTGGAGAGAGAAATAATGTGAATCACACACTTATATGCAAGAAAGGTGGCTATGTTTCTATGAGACACAACAACATCCGCGATCTAAATGCAGAGCTGCAGCGTGAAGTATGCAGAGATGTAGTGACTGAGCCAGCATTGATACCCCTTGATAATGAAGAAATTGTTGGTACCAATGCTGATAGAGCTGCACCTGATGTATCCTCACGAGGTCTCTGGAGCACATTTGAACGAACATTCTTTGATGTCTGTGTTACCCACCCCAACTCACCCACATATGACAAAAAAGATATGGAACAGATCTATAAAGCTCATGAAATGAGGAAAATGAAAAAGTACAACAACAGAATCATCCAGGTGGAAAAAGGCACCTTTACCCCACTTATATACTCAACAAATGGCGGATGGGGTCCACTAGCCACAAGATACCACAAGAGACTCGCTGAAAAACTATCCCAGAAGAGAGAAGACTATGCGGCTATTATGTGTTACATGCGCACCAGGATTAGATTCTCAATCCTCAGGAGCACCCTGATAGCGGTCAGGGGTGAGAGAGGGAGACGGCAATCGTATACATTGCCAGTCAGTGTAACTTCGTTTAACTTGATACCTGCCACCATGGACTATGAATGTTTCTAGACACTATCCTTTTGATATTGAGATATTGGTATCTCAGATCACGTGTACATCGTTCCTTTTTTTATGACACAGTAATTTATTGACACTATAATTTTAATCATTGAATCAGTATTTTTATCTGTGCTCTGCGTAATGCATCACATGAATCAGTTTTTTAATCTATTAACTTATTACACATTTGTGCTCTGCTTTAGCATCACTTGACTATTTTTAAAAATTGTTTGTTCAGGCCATGACCTTATAGTCAGCCAATTGGCCATTGCTATAATATGTGTATATTGTTTGAATATTCTTAATGTATGTATAAAAAAAAAAGAATAATGATATAAATGTCCTGGCCATTTCTAAAAACAGTCGCCCAAATTGTATTACTCGGTTTATTATTAAAGCAATAAATTACACAAAAACGTGCGCTATCAAACGGAAAGAAAACAGCAGTCATGTGATCGATGAATTAAACTATCTTGACATCGATCCGCGTAATGTAAAGCAAAAATGAAGCAATTTCAGCCAACGGTGCGCTGCATACAAACGTCAAAATGTTCTGCATGAGGTTAAGTAAAATACAATCCATAAAGTTACATAATTGAAACAGTTGTGGGCCCTTGTGGCTTGTTGTGGGAGGAATAAGTGTCCACAGACCACTGTCCCGTCGATGAAAATATGACACATGCTCATTATTGTTAAAGTGTCCTGGCATAAAGCCTATCATGTAAACAATCTATCAGAGTTTGGAGTCAAGCAAATAATTATAAAGCATTTTAAACTTGAAGGGACCTGGCAAAAATAGTTGTAAATTGGCCGACTAACAGCTTTATTAAGTATTAACCCTCGTTGTCCTCCGAAGCTTAGCTGCAATATGAAAGGATTATTTACCATTTACATAATTAAACACAACACTAACAGGGAAGATTGTTGCAAAAATGTATTTTATGCTTAAACTTAGTACGTTCTGACCATTAAATGAACTTTTTAGACGTTAAGTAACCTTGATTGACGATGTCAACCTTCCAGATCGTTGCTCTGCGAATTAACAAAGCAACGATCTAGCGAAGTAAGAATGATAGTTTGCGCGGCGCGTTGAAGCGGCGAAGTTCTCCAATAAGTAACCATAAACACTAGCAAAAGAACAATTCTTATGATGAGGAGACAGGGACTTCCAGAGACAGTCAATCCTTATTAACTTGAAAAAGTTAAGCGATACTTTACTATACTAGACTAGGGGATATAATAGTATAGGGGGTAAATAGTATTGTGAATATAAGGGCGACGGTAATGCTTGCCAGCATTGTGATGAGCATGTGTCATATTTTCATCGACGGGACTCGACAGTACAGTCTGTAAACACTTATTCTTTCCGCAACAAGCTACAAGGGCCCATAACTGTTTCAATTATGTAACTTTAATGTTTAAGGATTTATTGTTATTTATTAAATTGAAGCGAGTCATGCACTATTTGTATCGAAAAATGATGTTAAACTCATGCAAAACATTTTGACGTTTGTATGCAGCGCACCTTTGGCTGAAATTGCTTCGTTCTTGCTTTACATTACGTGGATCGATGTCAAGATCAAAAATAGTTTAATTCATCAATCACATGACTGCTGTTTTCTTTCCGTTTGATAGCAAGCTTTTGTGTAATTTATTGCTTCAATAATAAACCGAGTAATACTTGTATCACGTTGCGACCCCCACGGTCGTTTCACTATCGTCCTGACGATACAGGGGGAGCCGCGCACTTCGTGCGCGGCGGGTCATACAACGTATGACAAAGTAATACAATTTGGGCGACTGTTTTTAAAAATGGCCATGACGTTTATATCATTATTCTTGATTTGATTCCAACTCGGCGCG